CACGGGGTTTTTGTTTTGTAACAAAACCACCGTGCTAGCGCAGTGGGTTCTTAAGAACCCACGGTCGCATGCACGGGTGGCTCGCCTACGGCGAGCCACCGTGCTAGCGCAGTGTGCCCCGGTTTTTGCTGGCAGGCGTAGTTTGCCAGCAAAAAATAAAAACCCAGGGGTTTTACTTTTATTATAGAAGAACCGTCCGTAATACCTGTAATGAACCAAGGGCTCATAGCCCACATGAGGGTATTATCAACAGACCCGTTTAATAATTGATGTAGAGCAAGGAATAGCCATAAAATAACAAAAACACGCTTTGTAACCGCTAATAACATGATCTCAATCGAAATTAACAGCAGAATAATGTTCTTTCGGTTAAGGATGAATCCTAGAATTCCGATTAAAAATAGTACCATCGATAAATTCATTAACTTACTAGTTGTTAATTAACCTTATAACCCTAATACTCTATTTCTATCCCGCTCCTTTGCTTCCCTAGAAACATTAAGCGACCAGTACTCTCCCGAGTCTGATGAATGGTAGAATCATAGAGTCGCCATTTTGAGGCTCCGTTTGATTTCCAGTCTATTATTTTTAACTTCAAAATAGTAAAGATGAAGGGTCCCTGGTATCGGGGCCTTAATAGATAATTTTACTTTGTGGGAAGTATCCTGATGATACTCCTTTACTTATATAAATTAAAAAATTCGGCCCCGATCCCACCCTCATTGACCTATAATTATAATGTATTATTTGGTCAATAAGGGGGGGCAGAGAGAGCAGATCAAATGCATCAGTGGAATGACCTTTACTCCATTAATATAAAACATACTATGTAACTCAGTTAAGCAGCTAGGGATAGATCGTGTGGCAAACATCGGATCGAGCCGCGCATTCATCGAATAAGGTAGACTGCCCCCCCCTGAGACCTTACGGGGAGGGGAGAGTGTTGTCGCTTCCCCCTACGGGGAGGGGTTCGTCCCCTCGGGACTAGCTTCGACTACCATATTATAATATAATATAGTTGTGAATTTTATATATAAATATATATAAATCGGCTCCACGGGACACGGGACCACGGGACACGGGACCAGGGAAGAACAATAATGAGATAAAGAAGTGAAAACCTACGCAGCAGAAATACCCAAAGTGAATCATTCCTTGACCGAACAATAATCGTGCATTTTTACCTCCTTTATTAACCAACCCTCAAATACTATATACTCATAAGACAATAAAATAGTAAACTGAAGATGTAGATGTAATAGCAGATAAAACAAATAGGAATAATTAACCGATTTACTCTGTAGATGATTCGATTAAAACGCCATCTCTTACAACTAAAGGTCGTGTATCTACTCACAAACCATTTAAATATACTTTTTCCCGTTTATTTAAATTCGGAGATAAGTTAATATTACGTTGAACCACCGTTACAGAGCCCTCTTTTCTATTACGCACTCAATACTCCTTATCCTTAGTAATAGATTTACCTGAATATAGATTAATATAATCGGCCCCGGGGGTTTTTCTCCCCATCGGCTCCTGGGTAAGCTTACCCAGGAGCGGAGGGGGGAAAAACAGCCGGCGGACTTGGTCCTGCTACGCTGACCCCTAGGAATTAATACAAGATTTTCACCTACAGATCTTGCCTTACGAATTATTGTTCCATCAGCAAGGACTAGAACAGATATTTTGCAAAGGTAAAGCCCATTTTAAGGCTGGGGGTAGACATTTCCCCTTTTAATGCTCTAGGCCTGCCGGCCTCTTGCCCCCCCCCCTTTAGGGGGGGGGGCTACCGCGGGCCGTCCCCGCCAGGGGAAGCGAGGGATAATTGAAAAGTGTATTCCCAGGTGCTTAACCATTTAAGCTAAGTCTCTGTTCTAAAGTACGTATTACTATGGGTTGTTACTGTATAGATTACCCTGCATATCGATCCTGCTATTAAGGATTATATATATAAACAAATTAAACCCATCACTCTTCAGAGTGATGGGTTGGGAACCCCATTAGCCCTCCGAATGGCTTTAAAGTAATTTCGAAATTAATGCTTTACCCCGGGCAGCAAGCGACTAGCGCCGTGTTTTTGCCTAAAGACAAAAACACGGTCGCATGGAGTGGGTGGTAAACCCCCCACTCCTAGCGCCGTGTGCCCGGGGCCATCAAAATGGGTTTGAATAATTAGGTTAAAGTGTTAAATATATACAACGCTAGTCCCAAAGGGGCGGTGAAAGCTTCGACTTAGTCGAAGCTTTCGCCGACTCACCCCTCCCCGTAGGGGGGAAGGTTAGAGCGCCGCGCTGCGGGGCTAGGCCCCCCCTCCCCCTTCGGGTAGGGGAGGGGGGCCTCACCCTAGGGGCCGAGACCGACCCCGTCGGGCTAGAATATAATCACCTTTTAATTTATTACAAATAAATATAGTATCTACAATAGCGTTATAACCTGGTGATAGAATCGAACTATCAGATCTTATGTATGAGATAAGTGTTTTACCGTTTAAACTAACCAGGCAATAAATTCGGTTGAAATGGCGGCAGTGCCAATCCCTTTCTCTCGTTTTACATATTATATATATAGATATATGAAAACTCGGCGCCAGGGCGCACACCCAGGGTAGTTTATAATAGCCCCCCCCCCTTAGGGGGGGGGGGCAACCCCCGAGGACTAGCCCCCCCCCCCTTGGGGGGGGGGGGGCAACCCCCTCCCCGTTGGGGGGGGGGCCATGATATAACCCCCTCCCCTGAGGGGGGGGGGCAAGCGTCTAGCGCCGACCCTCTACCCCTACGGGGAGGGGGGGCGTATAAGATACCTCTAATCAACAAGCAGACTTAGATCAAGCGTGAGATTAGGGGTTATAAAAGGGCTAGTGGGTAATGAGAACTAGTCGCAGAGGTGGTAATATGGATTATTAGTTTTGTAAATTACGAGATATAGGTTTTGTAAAATATAAAATATAATATTTGTAGAAGACCCCCCTCTGTACCCCATGGCGTGTTGCTGGTCCAAAACACACACATGTGTGTGTTTTTGATTTTTATATAAATATAAAAATTGATTACGGGTATCGGACCGTCCTACCCTCGAAGACGGACTTATAATCAGGCATTACCAATCGATTGTTTCTTATCTCGGGAATAATCGAATTCGAATCGATATCAACTAATACGACAAATTAGTACTTTACCTATTAAGCTATATCCCCTGCCCTTCTTTTATTATTTTGTTAATGCGAGTGATTGATTCGAACAATCTCTTCGAAATCATGAGTCTCGGATGCTGCCAGTACATTAACTCGCATAGTAGAGGTGGGGGAACCCATTCTGGGTAAATTAATAGTGTACCGATACGAACATTAAAGACCAATCTTGTATAACATACTAGGATCCATATGTTCGGCTACAATGGACTGTAAGAGATGCATAGAGCTAGCTCTGATATAATGACAGGTAATCCTCGCTGATAATTCAGTGTACATCCTCGGGGGTTAGTCTCCCCATCGGCTCCTGGGTAAGCTTACCCAGGAGCGGAGGGGGGAAAAACGACCGGAGGGCGACCAAGTCCGCCGGTCCCCCCGGGACCGAAAGCTGATATCTGACCATTAAAATGTTCATAAGTCTCACACAATCAGGAACGGAAAACTATGAGTACATACACCCCCGGGGGACCGGAGGGCGACCAAGTCCGCCGGTCCCCCCCCCCTTAGGGGAGGGGGCCATTAAACCACTAAAATGAGGACTGTTGTCTCCCATAATCCAATCGTTAACGTAACTGGACATAATAATTCATTAATACAAGCATGGGATACCTTTAATAACCCCGATGTAAAATAAAGAATGAAGCGGTCCTCCCGGGCCGGGGGCGATCAAGTCCGCCGGCCCGGGAGGCGTAAAACAAGGTAACGACCGAGTAAAGCAATTGTACACCTAATTGGGTACCCCTGATCTAATACCGCTTACAAAGCAGCAGCAGCAGCAGCAGCAGCAGGTGGAATACTAGAACTCTAATGAGACATTGAGTTAACATGGGATAAACCGGGGGCTTTTGAATTAAGGCTCTAGGCCTGCCGGCCTCTTGCCCCCCCCCCTTTAGGGGGGGGGGCTACCGCGGGCCGTCCCCGCCAGGGGAAGCGAGGGATAATTGAATCCCTAGTCGTGCATTTTTATGTGTTTTAGAAGCTACAGTCAGCCAACCATCGGAAAGAATTAATCCAACAATTACTCCTTTAAGATAGGGTGTGAAATAAATCATGGAACTGATAAGGCTAGAAAATCTACCAGAACCAATTGTTGAAGGTAACATATTACCTACCACCACTAGAGCGGTGCAATCACAATGGATTGTAGGTACCAAAAATAATGCTTCGAATAATGCTGATAACATAATAAATATAATAATAAGTCTTATAACCCTAATAATCTATTTCTATCCCACCTTTGAGGCGACCAAATCTCTCCCGAGACTGATGAATAGTAGAATATATATTCGCTGCCCTTTCTTTTGGGGGGAGAGCAACTCCGTTTGATTTGAGGATCAATTATTTCTTCTTCAAAATAGTAGAAATAAAGGGTGTTGGGGGCCCAACCCTTTAGGGTTGGGCCCCCAACCCCACAATAGCTAAGGTATCCTTGGGGCCTTAATAGATACAATTTAATTGAGGTGGCATCCTGTTGATACTCCTTTACTTATATTGATTTCCAAAAAAAAACACTTAAAATATAACTATACCGTAAAATTTAGGTGTGTTGTGTTAAATGAGGGATCGGGATACAAAATATAAGTGCTCTGGCGGAGGATAATTCAAAACCCGTATCCTGTTTCTTCCGAACGTTAAGGCTTTAAGCTGGGCCATTGTTGTTCGGAGATTCCAATAACTGGGATAATTAAGATCATTGGATTTTTTCTTAAAGGCTATAAAGCTGTCCGTGGGTTAATTAGGTGAAAAAATAGCACTTAACTGGGATACTATACCCCCCACAATAGCTAAGGTATCCTTGGGGCCTTAATAGATAAATAAAATTGGATGTTACCCTGATGGTAAATCTTTACTTATATTGATTTCCAAAAACTTAAAATCTAACCATACCGTAAAATATACCTAAACTCTAAAACACGGCTCTAAATCTAACTCTGTACATTTACTCGCATAGTGGGGTATTCCGGTGGTCTCTTACCGCAATTTTACCCGTTTTCCCGATGAGGAATAGCAAAGTAGACTACCTTACTTTTATATTAAAATTAATAAAAATAATTTTAAAAATCCCCCGGGGGTTTTTCTCCCCATCGGCTCCTGGGTAAGCTTACCCAGGAGCGGAGGGGGGAAAAACGACCGGAGGGCGACCAAGTCCGCCGGTCCCCCCGGGGGCCGAGAACCAAAAAATAATTCTTGTTACTTATATAAAGAAAGAGTTTTTAATAAATTTGAATCGTTAGATTCAACAGGTCGAACAAGGCCTGTTTTAATTTGAAGGTGGAAATAGGAGGTAACTGGGAAGGGAAGAATCGAACTTCCATGAGTATGATCAAAACATACGGACTTACCATTAGTCAACTTCCCAATAGGACTATGGGATTATTCCCATCCCAAGGAAAACCGGGCCGCCTAACCCCAAGGAATTGGGGAAAGTTCCTTTACTTATAATGTGGAGAGACCGCTGGGCGCGAAGATATCGGGTGCGCCTCTAGCTCAGCAAAAGGGTTGTGGCGAGCATTTGCGCTCATGTCCCGGGAAGAAGGATTGCAGTTGCTGGGGAGAAACCGCCTAGACCCCCGAAGTTGGACCAAATGAACAGCTTGGTGGATCATTACTCCGGCTTGGGTAAGGCTAGTCGGCAACACCTTAAAGTAAATAGCGGTAATCCGAAGGGGTGATGATGGTCGCCTAATCATGAGGACAATCGAGAGTGTGGTGCGGTTCAGCGAAGCCGAGACCAAAAATAAACGGTCTATGCCGTGACGAATGCCGGGCCCCCGGACCGTAGGTAGGAACTAGCGCTCGGTCCCGTTCCCTATAAGGGAACGGGACAGGGGCGGTCGTTTCGGCTATGGCAGCCCGATCCCGCCCCGCCCCCCCGGGAGGGTGGGCTGGCGTGTAGAGGGAGCCCTCCCCGAATGGGGCTAGCTAGCTAGCTAGCTGGCTCCCCGTATGGGGGAGGGGTTTTACTAACCTAGGGGTCAGCGTAGCAGGACCAAGTCCGCCGGCCACCCCGGGGCCGTAAAACTAGGCATAATTGAATTCTATAATGGGATCCCTTAGATGAAGAATTTGGTTACGGATCTAGGCCTGCCGGCCTCTTGCCCCCCCCCCTTTAGGGGGGGGGGGCTACCGCGGGCCGTCCCCCCCAGGGGAAGTAACGATAGCTCTTCCAAAGGGCGAAGAACCATGCATCCATCATCCAATGGATGGATGATGGCATAACTTCCGGGAGGCAAGCGACTAGCGCCGTCTCTCCCGGAAGGCCGCAACAGATGCATGTTAAATCTCTACATCGATCTTCCGGCCCGATTAAGCCGGATCCCCGCCAGTAGCTCCCCCCTTCTTTGAAGGGGGGGAGCAAGCGGGCCATCCGGCCGGGGGTGGCTCCGCAAGGAGGAGTTGTTTTTTTTTTTTTTCAAAGAAAAAAAAAAAAACTACAAGCAAAAGAGAAACAAAATTTGCTCTCTCTTATAAATAAATCGCCCGCCGGGTCGGAAGGCGCGAACAAAACGGCTAACTAGTCCGACGCATCACAGAAAATTGGTTTTTTATCTTGTCGCCCCTCCGGGCCCGCAAGGGGACAATAAAAAACAGTGTTTTTTCTATTTTTATTTTTAATAAAACCCGGGGATTGCTCTCCCCTCGGCTCCTGGGTAAGCTTACCCAGGAGAGGTGGGGGGAGCAATGGCGGGAAGGGTCATAGACCCGCCCCTTGTCCCCCCGGGGGCATCATTTTTTGATCCATTTTATAAAAAAAAGCGCAGAAAATTGGTTTTTTCGGCCCCGGGGGGACCGGCGGACTTGGTCGCCCTCCGGTCCCCCCGGGGTATCCAAACTCACTGCCCCTCTTCCTCCCGTAGTAAATAGGGGGGGGGGACAAGGGCAATTGCAGATTACTGCCAGTCCAGCGGGAAGAAGCAGGGTTTTTCCTTCTCTAGCTCTTGGCGGAAGGCAAATCGAATCGCTGACCTAAATTATGCGATGCTACACAAAAGTCCAAGAGGTTCTCGTTTTTTTAAATTAATTTTTAAAAAACTACATATGTAAATACATGTGTATACTATGTCTTTACATATTAGCCCAGAGTGCTTTTCCCTCGTAACTTCAGTTACAAGGGAAAACTTTAAAATGCAGGCTTAAATTTTACCTGTTGTTTCTGTTGTTGCAGCGTAGCTGCAACTACCATAAACTACTCCCGCCCGCAAGAGGCTATCGATTGAGAGCGCTAAGATTCGAACTTAGATCTTGCTGATTAAAAGTCAGAAACTTTAACCTATTAAGTTACACTCTCCCTCCCCGTTTTTCATTACATTTGTACAGATGGGGGGGCAAATCGAAAATCTATATATATAGAGTTTAGACATCGAGCCAGTTTCTTGACAAACCATGCAGTAAATGCCTGATTGATCATTAAGGATTTCCTTAGCCTCTTTAAGGGAGTCGGTAAGGTGCAGATCTCTGAATACCAGAATAGTCGGCAGGACCTCAACTCCTTCACAAAACTGGATAGAAGCCAGCATACAGAGATTAATACTGTTAAGATAATAAACGCAAGAATAAAGTTAAAAAGCTGTGCCTCTGGCGCAGCGCCACAGCGCTAGTCGCTGGCCCGCCGGGTTAGTATAAAACCAGCCATAATACGTTAGAAGGAGGTCGAGCAAATCTTTGATATGTTGGTAGAGAGACCCATCTCGTTGAATCACTTAGAGTGATTAAAATAACCCCCTGGTCCCGTTCCCTATAGGGAACGGTAGGGCAACCGGAGGAACCGGCGACCAAGTCCGCCGGTCCCCCGCCGTACTAAAAAATAGAGCAAGGTATTCTCCCCAATGCCATGGAGCAGCAAGGTACATTCCCCTATGCCATGGAAGGCCCGATGTGGATGCCATACAACAAAATAAGGTATTCATGTCAAGATAATTTGATTTGCACAAACATACAGGGCTTTTCTATTTAAGCTATATCCTGATGCGGACCCAATGGGATTATTCGGTATGTAATTAGGAAAAGAATATAAACCAATGAATATTACATTTGAAAGGTGTACCATCAGTAGTAAACAACCAATGAGGCATGAATAAATATATCTTAGAAATTGAAGAAATAAAAGTAATCGAGAATTTAATATCACTAATAGAAGAGTATACAGATTTTTTTTGACAGCTTAGGTCAGAAATAATGGAAAGTATACAGAATCAGATGAATTTGACAGCTTCCCCGGGGGGGGTGCCACGGCGCTCTTTTTTTTTTTGCGGCAAGCGACGAGCGCCGTCTTGCAAAAAAAAAACGCTGGCCACCCTCCCCCCTTTGGGGGGCCGGGGAAAAACCGGTCTGAAATAATGGAAAAATCTCATATGTTCAAAGCTTGGTAGTTACATCACTCATGTCGTGGATAACCACTTTGGGCCTTAAAAAAACTTTGCAAGGAAACTTAGGCCAGATACTTACGGATATTCCACTATGAATATTTTACCCTACCGTTTACCTCTATTACATATCGTTGCTGGATGAGGAAACTCCAGGATTTGAACCTGAACAATCATCATGAAAATGGAAGATATCAAACGTTAGATCAAATTTCCTTCTACTTAAAATATTGTTTTTTCTTGCCCCCCCCCCTTTAGGGGGGGGGGCTAACCGGAGGAACCGGCGACCAAGTCCGCCGGTCCCCCCGGGGGCGTAATAAAATTCTTAAGTCATTTATACATTAATATAGATTTTTATTGGTAATACTAATTAGATAGTATAAATTAACATTGTTAGGAGTGAAACTAATAAGAATTTCTATACTTATATGTTGTAGAAAATCCATTACTATATTAAGAAGGCATAAGGTAATCGGCGAAAGCTTTGACTAAGTCAAAGCTTTCACCGATTACTTGATTTTGATAATTTTCCATTAACAGATTTAATGGTTTCAGATCGTTGATCCCAACTAGCACTCTTAAGGCGTTATAATCCTCAAGACTAAGTTCTTTTATAAAATCATAATATAGATATATGTATTTTCTCCCCCCTTTACTTCGTATAACCTTTTTTGGACCCTACCCCAACATTCATTAATAGAACGCAATCGGGTACTGTAAAAGAATTCGTACATAGCGTTAGACCCCCATTAGTCCAATGGCCGTCCCCGCTAATCCAGTGAGCCAACGCTGGGGGGGTTAATAAATTAAAAATATAAGCGCGGTTGTGTTTGGTGGCACCCCATTCTTTCTTGAAATAGCCATGGGGTTTTATGAAGAAACTTTTATTGCTCTAAAAAAATGAGCTTTGTGGGTTACCCCGATCGGGCTAGCGCGAGCCGGTGTAACGATCTAATTTCCTTGCCTATCACGTCAGATCGTGATGGGACCTTCCCGTACATAACATCAGGGAAAATACGGACCTCAAATTATCTTCGGTCCAGCGGTTGGGTTGCTTCGCGAACCCGACCCCTGGAACTTTTCGTATGCTTGGTAGGCACCCAGCTCGAGAGGCCCGGAGACTTTCTTTATTTTTAATTTATTAAAGAATTAATAATTATAATAGTGGTATCACGGCGCCCCCATGCCCGGTCAGAAGGTTTCGTATGAGTATTGGATGATACCGGGTTTAATTAATTTTATATAAGAGAGAGAGAGAAATAAGTTAATTATTAAATACATAAACTAAATGGGTAGATAGGCGAAGTTCAATATTGTCTCAAACAGGAAGACGTCTGCCTGAAACTGAATTGATAATTGCGTAAACTCTAGCCCCGGAGGGCTCGTCCCTTCCCCCTGCGGGGAGGGGTAAGTCCCCTCGGGACTAGCATCGACTACCATATTATAATATAATATAGTTGTGAATTTTATATATAAATATATATAAATCGGCTCCCCCCCCCCATTCGGGGAGGGCGGGCCGATGGCCGACTAGCTCCCCCCCCCTTCTTTGAAGGGGGGGGGGAGCAATAGCAACCCTCTTAGTGTCGTAATATGCGTTTGTTGGTGGTAAATGATTGACCCATATTTGGATTCGAACCAAAACAAAGGTATTAGAAAGACCTTACTCTCTCCTCTTAAGCTATATGGGTTATATGTGTGAGGGGGGAGGGAAGACCGTACATGGGGGTCTAAGGTAGTTGTAGAATAAGGAAGGAAGATAAACATTCTTAGTATAATTACAAGAATAAATCCTTGAATGAAGGCAGATGAATCAAGGCGAAGCCTAGTCGTAGCTATTTGCTAGTCCCTGTGGGGCGGTGAAAGCTTCGACTTAGTCGAAGCTTTCGCCGACGAACCCCTCCCCGCAGGGGGGCCCATAATGGACAAGCCCTCCGGGGCTAGAAACAACGAGATATGCTCGTTTAACGATGGATCCTCGTTTTACTGCCATATAAATACATGAAAGGGAACGGTGAAAGCTTCGACTCAGTCGAAGCTTTCGCCGACACCCAAATACTCGACAGCAGCTGCCCGAGAAGTACATTCTTGTACTAATACATCCTTCAATGTATAAATAGAGATATCCGGCTTCATATCCCCATTACTTACATTTGACCATGTTTTACCTTAATTGAGAAATCGCGGACTAATAAGGCTTTCGGCTCCCCGGGGGTTTTTCTCCCCATCGGCTCCTGGGTAAGCTTACCCAGGAGCGGAGGGGGGAAAAACGACCGGCGGACTTGGTCGCCCTCCGGTCCCCCCGGGGATTTAATACAAATCCCCGGCGGGCCAGCCGTGGCGCCTTCCGCCGGGGCCCGTTATTAATTTTGGTATTTAAATCTCTATAAGTATAAGAGATTTAGTTTAATGGTAAAACATGATTACTTCTACTAGTAAAAGTAGTGATCATTTCCTTGTTCGATTCCTGGAGTCTCTATTCTATTTTTATTGGCTTATAATAAAACCCTCTGGCCCCGTTCCCCACAGGGGAACGGGGCGGGCTGGAACTGCTGAAAGCTGGCCCAATAAGTTTGTACATCAAAATAACTAAGCTTAAAGCGCCAATAGCCACGAGAGTGTATGCGTAGCGAAGCATTATAAATGAACTCAGACCAAAGATCTGTTAGTAAAACAAAGGATTTATGCAAGATTTTGCATACGGAAATGTATCCCATAACTTGCGGAAAGATACCATATAACTCCAATTGGAGTCCTTACCTCTTTATCTTATATAAATTAACGGGAAGGTCCCATCACGATCTGACGTGATGCCTACCCCCCCGGTAAAGTGTGAGGTAAGAGAGATTTGAACTCCCATAGGGTACTCGACCCCCTAGTTTACAGCTAGGCACTTTAAACCCTTCAGTCATTACCTCGTCAATTTTTCCAAATCCCCTACCTATATTACCATATTTGAAGAGCAGATAGACACTGCCCCGGTTACTATAGCCGGGTGGACGGTATCCGAATATCGGAAAATAAAATTAGCCCGCTCCCGGGGGGGAGCGTTCGCCTCACCGGGAGTGGGTGACCACCCCCGTGGTGGCCTTTTAAATACACTCTAAACCGACCAGAAACTACCTATCCGTGTCGAAGTGCATTTGACACTGCCGGGTCGAGATACTCCAATAAATTCTGCTGCAAACTTGATAGTTGAAAATTCTGCCACTAGATTACCCTGGAGGTCCGCAATGAGCACTGTTGTAGCTCTACCATTAAGCCCCCCGTAATCTTGGTTTTAGCCTCTTCTGAATGCCGATAACCAATAGGTGCATCTGCTAGTGGTACAAAAACCGTTAAATCGAAGATTTGAAGGGAGGGAAAATAACCAATGCCTACACTGGGAGAGTTCAGCTATTGGTAACCCGCTTCATTATACCTAGAGGGAATCTCCGAATTAGGGTAATTTTGCCTGCCCCTAAACAGAGGGATTGAGCTTTGTCAAATAAATACAAAGAAAAGACGTACCCGGAGGGCACGGCGCTAGGAGTGTGTGGTTTACCACACGCTCCATGCGACCGAGGTTTTTCTTTTAGAAAAACCTCGGCGCTAGGAGCGGGACCCGGAGGGGCTCGCTCCATGCGACCGAGGTTTTTCTTTTAGAAAAACCTCGGCGCTAGGAGCGGGGGTCCGAAGGAACCCCTGCTCCATGCGACCGAGGTTTTTAGAAAAACCTCGGCGCTAGGAGCGGGGCCCAGAGGGGCTCGCTCCATGCGACCGTGTTTTTTCTTTTAGAAAAACCACGGCGCTAGTCGCTTGCCCCTCCCCCCTTCGGGGAGGGGAAGTAATATTTACTAATTAGTAAGTACTTGGCGCCAAGAAAATTACTTAATCGATGAAACACTAACGCGATACATACCTTGAATGACAGACCCTCGTTGAATTGCATTAGATAGTCCAGAACTCGACATACCTAGGAAAAGCAAGCTGCAGCAGTGCACGAAGACAATAGACCCACGTTAGCCCCATCTAGTGAATACACTGAAGCAAATTTGCAAGACATCTATATATATAGATGTCTAGCTAGCGTTTACTTCCGGCCTCCAGCCGGATCCGCGCGAGCGGAAGCATTAGTTTTACCAACAGTCTTAGTATTACCAATTCGAGCTGCTGACATTTTTGCTCGCGTTTGCACAGTATGTTGATACCCCTGCAATGAGCCTGCAGTAGATAAGAAATTCGATGCTGGAACCCCGTGTTTCGCAAAGCCGCGTTGAAGAGGAATATTTGATCCTCTATTATTTACATGATCCATAAACCGTCTAGCGAGATTTACAGAACTCCCAATATAGACAATTTCTCCGGTAGAAATAAGTTGAAAACCATAAACACCCGCAGCCTTACTCAATCCGTTTCTAATCATTGATTGTGTAAAGACATCAAATTTGAGTATACCACTGGAATTACTAACATACTTTGTGCCTTATTTTTTTTTTGCAAGACGGCGCTAGTCGCTTGCCTGGCGGAGCCAGCCATGCGACATGCGCCCGTGTCGCTGCGCCAGAGGCGCAGCGCCACAGCGCTAGTCGCTCGCCCCCTGCGGGGGCGAGCGACATGCGCCCTGCCTCCATCAGGGTATACCCTGATTGCGCACAGCGCTAGTCGCTCGCCGCAAAAAACGCCCAAGCAGCAGACACATCTTGAAGAAGAGAAGATAAAGTAGCAAAATGAGGGTGTAGACCCTGAAGAACCCCTTGAAAATGCTTAAGCCACTGAAGATAATAAGCTGCCAAGAGTCGGAACTCCTTCTCGGACATAGTGTAAACAGCCCGCTTAATAACCTCATTTGTCAACTAGATTGACGAGAGCCAAGCTGCAGAAATATATTAATATCTACATCGATCTTGCAAAAGAGAATTAACTTCTCTCTCTTATATAGGACCCGGTGTTAGTGCAGTCGAGGGTAGACCATAATGCTTAATAGCATTTCGTAGGTGGATATTTGAAGAATTAATAAAATGTTCATTCAGACGGTTCCCAAGATTAATCGAACTACCGATGTACATTGCCCCAGTAATGAATACAGTAGATCCCAACCCTTGGTAATCTAATTGGGGAGGGGGGGGGTACTCCAAAAAGGAGTTAGTTCATAAACGCCCCTCGGGAGGGCGCTAGGCTAACACAGCTTTGCTGTGTTCACCAAGCTGAGCTTTGAAAAAGCTCAGCTAGGCTAATTTATTAAAAATCCCCCGGGGGTTTGTCTCCCCATCGGCTCCTGGGTAAGCTTACCCAGGAGCGGAGGGGGGAAAAACGACCGGAGGGCGACCAAGTCCGCCGGTTAGCCCCCCCCCCTAAAGGGGGGGGGGCAACCAATTTGCCAACCTGGTTTTTCTTTTAGAAAAACCAGCTAGGCTAACCCCTCCCCGTAGGGGGAAGGGCCGTGAAATAAATTGTTCAAAACCCCCGGGGTTTTTCTCCCCATCGGCTCCTGGGTAAGCTTACCCAGGAGCGGAGGGGGGAAAAACGACCGGAGGGCGACCAAGTCCGCCGGTTAGCCCCCCCCCCCTAAAGGGGGGGGGGCAACCGTAACAATGAATACAATTAGTCGAATAAATATAAAGCTTGAGTAATGAGGTAATCGTGAGAAAAAGCTAAAGGCTGATAGTATGCATTAAGTACGAACAACACGGTACATGCCTTTAACAATAGAGCCCCGTTTGACCGCTAGAGAAATTGCTGCTGTACTAACACCCAGAAAATTTGCTGCAGCTGTTAGAGAAGAAGAAGACTGTACTAATTTACCATCTAAAGTATAAACAGAAACCCCCACTAAATTAGGAGCTAATCTGGTTTTTCCATACATTGGATGATTCGGGCCAGATTTGGCTGCGCTCATTTTTGCTCTCGTTTCCTCTGAATGTTTAAACCCTAGTCCCAAGGGGCGGTGAAAGCTTCGACTTAGTCGAAGCTTTCGCCGACTCACCCCCGTAGGGACAAGCCCCTCCGGGGGCTAGACAAAAACCTGCAATAGCACAAAAATTTATCGTAATTCTCTAGGCAGAGAAAATAGTCAATTCAGATAGAATTGCTCACGGCTAATTAAGTTATCGCCCTTCGGGCGGCCCCGTGGGACGGTATATACTTTTATTGCTTAAGCAATTATTGTATATACCCTGTTTTATTAATAAAACAAGGCGCTAGGCGCTTTTATTGCTTAAGCAATAATTGCGCTCAGCGCCGCGCTGCGGCGCTAGGCGCTTGCCCCGGGTTTTTTTTTTTTTCTAAGGGCGGACATGTGCCCGCAGAAAAAAAAAAACGGGTGTACAAAATTCAACAATAATAAAGACAAATGAGGGAAGACCATAAAGTGCAATTGCACGCTGTAAATACAGATAACTGGCATGATTAAACACGTGACTGAATAATCGAGAAGCTAAATCCACTGAGCTACCGATATACATTTGTCCATTCTCAATATTAGCCATACAATAAACACCTGAGGTGTATTTAAGCAGTTCTTTAGCTTCCTTAAGGGATTCAGTTAAATGAAGATCCTTAAATTGCATGACTACGGTAAATCTTCAATTCCCTCACATCAACAGATTGCATTAAAGCTCACTGAATAAACCACAAGGCAGGCCAGTAGTAGAAGAAAAGTCGAAATTAATACCTTCATAAATAAGTATAAACCCAGCCACACCCCGTTAGAATGAGGTCGAGCAAATCTTTGGTATTTTTGTTGAGATACCCATCTCGTTGAACTATTTAGAATAGTTAAAGTAAATAGTACACTTAAAAATAGAGCAAGGTTTACACCCCAGTGCAATGGTGTAGCATTTGTGGTTGCCAGCCAGAAAGTTACGTTTTGCATTTTGTTGTATATTCATAGTTAGAATGGAATTTTCTTTATACTGGCTACACCACACCACAATCTCATCGCCAGTGGCCTTCAGCCCAAATCCTGACGGAAATATTTTCTAACCTTATGGTAATATAGGCGTACCCACTCAAATGTCCGGTCTCGGAGCGGTGACATTGCGATCCCCTAAAATACCGTTGCAATACCAGGGGAATGCCTCTACTCAAGCCCTGTGCCGGCTGCCGGGAAATTGATTTAGAAACCTTATAGTTTCTAACAATTCGGGACCCTCATGAATCCCCCATATTAGATGAACAAAGGCTGTTTACTCTGCCAATAGACTTCCGAATCCGCAGCATGAGAGGCGGGGAGGTAAATGGCATATTCTCTTATCGTTGCTGGAAGTAATGAAATCCTAGCCCTGGAGGGCTTGTCCATTCCCCCTGCGGGGAGGGGTGAGTCCCCTCGGGACTAGGTCACAAACATTACATCATTCATCCTGAGATGAAGTGCGTTTGCCATAAAACAAGATTTCCATTACTTATATGTTTTAAATAAAAGTTTCAAAAACTTGACGGGGTCCCCCTATCCCCAGTAGGTTCGGCACAGCCCCCCTATTCCCCGTATAATTACCATAAGGACGAGGCCCACAGATTCCAAGTAGTCCTTGAACATCAGAATTTGAAAGTATGCTTAAGGGCCCCCGGGGGGACCGGCGGACTTGGTCGCCCTCCGGTCCCCCCGGGGGGCTTTAAACCACCCTACCTACCTACCTACCTACCTACCTACCTACCTACCTACCTACCTACCTACCTACCTAGCTACCTACCTACCTACCGTACCTACCTACCTACCTAAAAAAGTTAAGGCTCAAAGTGACGGTCGTGTGCATTTGGTATCCCCGGCCCCCCGGAGGGGTTGATTAAATATTGCCTATATAGGGTTTTCCCATACTTATCTCGTTTATACATTACATATCGTTGCTGCCCTCCGGGCGTGCCTGTGGGACGGCGCTAGACGCGACAATCACATACATGTGATGGGGGTATATACACCTCGTTTTATTAATAAAACAGG